CCCCCCCCCCCCCCCCCCCCCGTCGACAAACTGCACCGTATTGCGCCGCAGTTGTATTTCTTGTATAGTCTAATCTTCTGACTGGTTTTCAAACACCTTTTTTTTACTCAGCATCGTTGTCGTTTTGTTCGCCGAAATTCATTAGCAGCACTAATTTAACTTTAGTAAAACTATTGATAATTCAATGACAAGAAACTAAAAACTTGTAGAACCACCAATAAGTTAACAATGCAAACCCAAATGTTGGCTAACCACTGAAAAGTTACCGGAGTGAAACCAATAAAGCATTTTTTGCAGCAAATGCGGCGTACTAGGCGATGTTCTATCTAATACCTCAGAAAATAGGGTACTGAAAAATCAACAGAAACTAGACCCACCAAGATGAGCTCTATTCGACAGGACATCGAGCAATCTTTCCTTTATGGGACGCGAATCACCAGGTACGAAGGAGAACTGAGCAGACTGCTAAAACACTATATTTCCAATACACGAGACCATTGAAGGAGCTTTTGTTCAGCAGCATCGGAAGAACATGAGAGAAAAACTCTTTATTAGAACAGTAAAGGTTATACGAAACTCATACCGAAAGCCTGCTGAGAATAGCAGCATCATCGGCTTCGCTGGTATATTGAAGTAGTCTGATCAGCTGTGTAGTGTCGGACGTTTGCAATACAGCCGCTATAGCTTGCTCAACGGCTAAATTGAAGGTAAACAAGTATAGTGATTTATTAAATGAAAAGTAACGGCAAATATGAGAATGGATGACCTTCCGTCCGGCTAGGATTAATGGAGGACGGATTCACATAGCCATTAGAAGATGGAGAGTTTCGCCGCCTATCATACTGCAAAGTTGCGGTAGGTGCAGGAGGGCACGCCGATAATTCTGACTCCTGGCCTTCAAACTGCTGGGTTCGAGGATTAATGGAACGCCGTTCCTTCCGTTGTTTCTTACTCCATAATTCATGGCAATCCTAAAATTTACTATATGAAGCAGCACTCCTTTGAGATACTGAAATAGCTATCGTATTATACGCAGTATTGGCCCGTGAGGATATAACGAATAAACCGACTCAACAAAGTGTCAAAGCAAATTTGAATTTGGATGGATTTCATACGCTAAAGAAACCCCGCTGCTACAGAGCCAGGGCACAGCGCCGTTGTGTGGAACACATGGCGTTGTACTTTGTCTCTGGGGAGGGGGGGTGTCGTATTTGGTTGGGAGAGAGAGGTTCGTATGTGCCTTCGAGAGAATCCCCCACCCCCTCCTCCACTCGACGGAAATTTTTTGTGAAAAAACTGGAAAATGAGGGAAATTTGTAGGTAGGTGTTGGGGAAGGGAAGAAGGGTCGTACCGAGACCCTCATTACGGGGAGGGGTTAGGACTGACACCCTCTCTCAGAGGGGGGGGGGGTAGCCGTACCTACACCACCAACTCGCACATCATAATGCTGTACCCTGAG